CCTGGCTAATCTTGTTATATGGAAATCAGATCTCAAGAAGAGGAAGATCAATTCAATAGAAAGATAGTAGGCCTGGGTAACAACGCAAAAATTTGTTTCTAAAATCGATTTGTAATTGGGGTGTTTTTTTGTTTCGATATTTAAAATAATTACAAAATTTTCCCTTAAAAAGTTCGGTATTTACGAAATTTCGTAAATATTTACGAATCGATTCGTTAAGATGGCGGACCCCCCGCGCATGCGCAAAATCACTTCCGAAGCTTCGTTATTGGCGCGGGGTCGATTCGTTAAGGTTATAACGAATCGATTCGTTAAAACGGCGGACGCGATTGCGCATGCGCAAAAGCGACTTCCGAAACTTTGTTATTAAATACGAATCGATTCGCTATTAAAATAATAACGAATCGATTCGTTAAAACGGCGGACGCGATTGCGCAATGCTAAATGCTCTATAAACAAAATCATTTCATAAAATAAATCAAATAAAATAATCAAATAGAACAAGATATTAAGATATTAAATAAAAAAGTAATAAGATAAAGTATCCAAAACTGAGTCAATTTAATAATATAATGAAATAAACAATAATATAATAATAAAATTTAAATAAATAAAATATAAATAATAATAATAATAATAATAAATAATAACAATAAATAATATAAAATTATATAATATATACAATATAAAATAAAATAATATAATATAATAATATATTATTATATATATTATATAAATGAAATAAATAATAATATAAATATTTAAATAAAATATAATTAAATTTATAAAATATTTATAAAATATAATTATAAATAATAATAAAAATAATATATAAAATTAAATTATAAATTATTAATATATAAAAATAATGTTATTATAAAAACTTAGAAAGTAAATATAAGAAATAAATAAAGAAAAAGTAACAAAAAGTAACAGAAATTGCACTTTGAAAAAACTCTGAAAATTATCTGGGAAGTATTGCATACATACTAATTTCTGTAGCAGTATTGCTAGTTAAGTAAGAAGGACCAACTTCACATTTGGGTGGTGTCTCTTAATGTGCATCCTTAGCCCTGTTGTGGCAAGATGCCTCATATCTTTTCCTCTGCTGACGCTCACACCGCAATGCCTGCAAACTGCCAAAGTGGCCCTCTCATTATGGACGTCGTAATGATCCCATAGGAGCGATCTCGGCCTACCCCTACTAGGCACTTCAGATGTACTCATGCTCGTGTTTGGACTGTCGGTGTTTGTGGAAGGGAGTATAATCGTTGGTTGTTTCTGTAGCTCGCCCTCCATCAGCATGCAGTCCTCTTGATCACTAATTCCTGTGGTGGAAGCACATTCCATCTTGTCTTCCTCCCATTCCTCTGACACGTCCGCCTCCTCGCCCTCCTCTTCATAACAAGTAGTATCAGAGGTACTTGGAACGACATCAGGATCTGAACGTAGAGTCTTTCGAACTGATGAAGAAGAAGGTTCTGCCATCTCACAGCTGGTTGAAGCATCTGTGGGTGTTTCAATAACCATCTCGTTGGATGAATGTTCCCTTCTTGTCAATGTGTTCATCTTCAGTCCCCTGCCTTTCTTCGGTATTCGCGATAGCACTTGGCCCTTGCGACTAGAAAAGCCGGGAAGGAAGCGTTTCATCACACTGGTTGGAACTACACAAATAATGAGCGAGCACTGTATTATATAGCACTTTTTGTTGGCAAAAGGAGCGCACTGGTTGGAACTACACAAATAATGAGCGAGCACTGTATTATATAGCACTTTGTGTTGGCAAAAGGAGCGCACTGGTTGGAACTACACAAATAATGAGCGAGCACTGTATTATAGCACTTTGTGTTGGCAAAGGAGCGCACTGGTTGGAACTACACAAATGAGCGAGCACTGTATTATAGCACTTTCTGTTGGCAAAAGGAGCGCACTGGTTGGAACTACACAAATGATGAGCGAGCAGTGTATGTAGCACTTTCTGTTGGCAAAAGGAGCGCACTGGTTGGAACTACACAAATGATGAGCGAGCAGTGTATATAGCACTTTGTGTTGGCAAAAGGAGCGCACTGGTTGGAACTGCACAAATGAGCGAGCACTGTATTATAGCACTTTCTGTTGGCAAAAGGAGCGCACTGGTTGGAACTACACAAATGATGAGCGAGCAGTGTATGTAGCACTTTGTGTTGGCAAAAGGAGCGCACTGGTTGGAACTACACAAATGATGAGCGAGCAGTGTATGTAGCACTTTGTGTTGGCAAAAGGAGCGCACTGGTTGGAACTACACAAATGACAAACGCACACACAGCCACCGAAGACTCTTATTTTTTTTAGAATATTTTTTGTATTTTTTAAAGAATAAAAGACAGGTATTTTTAAAAAATATTCAGAAATGGAAAATTAACCAAAAACTGGCCCTGATGTGGACCAAACACAGCCACGAGACAGGGCAAATGAGAGCACACAGCAACAGAAGAGTCTTTTCTTTTTTTAGAATATTTTTTGTTTTTTTAAGAATAAAAGACAGGTATTTTTAAAAAATATTCAGGAATGGAAAATTAACCAAAAACTGGCCCTGATGTGGACCAAACACAGCCACGAGACAGGGCAAACGAGAGCACACAGAAACAGAAGAGTCTTTTCTTTTTTTAGAATATTTTTTGTTTTTTTTAAGAATAAAAGACAGGTATTTTTAAAAAATATTCAAGAAATGGAAAATTAACCAAAAACTGGCCCTGATGTGGACCAAACACAGCCACGAGACAGGGCAAACGAGAGCACACAGCAACAGAAGAGTCTTTTCTTTTTTTAGAATATTTTGGTTTTTTAAGAATAAAAGACAGGTATTATTTTTAAAAAATATTCAGAAATGGAAAATTAACCAAATGCTCTCCCCGCAGTGGAGCCAACAGCCACAAGACGGGGGAAACGCACACACAGGCAGGCACACAAGATTCTTTTCTTTTTTAGAATATTTATTGATTTTTTTAAAGAATAAAAGACAGGTATTTTTAAAAAATATTCAAAAATGGAAAATTAACCAAAAACTGGCCCTGATGTGGACCAAACACAGCCACGAGACAGGGCAAACGAGAGCACACACCAACAGAAGAGTCTTTTCTTTTTTAGAATATTTTTTGTATTTTTTTAAGAATAAAAGACAGGTATTTTAAAAAATATTCAAAAATGGAAAATTAACAAACAAATTGACAAAAACCGAAGGAAGGAATGAATCCAAGCAAGGAATTAATAATAAGCAGCAAGGAATGAATCCAAGCAAGGAATAAGCAAGGAATGAATCTAATCCAAGCTTAGCCAGTTGCAAGCCAAGCCAACCCAATGCAACCCTCCCGGACCTCTTCTCTTCTCCCTCGCCTCTGCAACAATGAGCTGTACGGCCGCGCGGAGCCGCTTTTAAAGGGCTTGCCGGCCAATCAGAAACAGCCACGGTGCACTGCTTGGGTGCTTGGGAGCGCCGGATTGGCTCCCAGGGCACCAGCATCCTCCATCCCATTTACGAAACGGGCGGAAGCTCGTTAAAAGTATGGGGGATGCCGTTTCGTTATTTTAAAACCCTTCCGGGTTTGAAAATGTGTTTTGTAATCGTTTCGTAATTGCTAAAAATAACGAATATTTAACGAATTACAAAATTAACGAACGAAACCGCCCAGGCCTAAAAGATAGATTACAAAATGCATTCAAAAATTGTGTTTCTTCTTGCTGTACCTTTTAGAGCAGTTCTCCTCATGGTAGATAATATGGGAAACAGAGATTTTTTTCTTTTGATGTTTGGGGCACTCAATGTTTGCCTAATTATAACTACTTTGTTTCCTGGAAACATGCCAGGAACCTGCAGTGATTGACTAAAGGAGAGTACTGGTCCCAGATTACAATTTAAAATAGATTGTTCACTAGTTTAGTAAAACAGAGTATTTAGATTATATGCGGTTTTGACAGAGTCCCAATGCTGCCCCTAGAATCTTTAGTCATCCAATACTCCATATCCTCGTCAGAAAAAAGATAGTCATGTAAAATTTGTCAATTGTGCCATTATGTTTTATTTACTAAAAACTTTACAGTTTTTGGGAAAGGTATTTGAGACAACTCTGTGATACTGAAACCATTTATTTGACATCTTCCATGCAGCCTGATGGATATCTTTGTTTCTCAGACTATAAATGATAGGATTTGTTACTGGTGGCAGAACAGTGTACAAAATTGCAGACAACAAATCTAGAGAAGTTGAGGACAAGGCCTGTGGTCTAAAGTATGAGAATGCAGCAGTTGAAAGAAATAACGAGACGACAGTCAAGTGTGGGGTGCAGGTGGAGAAGACTTTACACTTGCCCTGGGATGATTGAATTTTGAATACTGTTGAGAAGATGTTTCCATAAGATATTAATATTAAAGAAAGACAACAAATACCAGCAGTTAATACAACAGCAAGAACAAGCAATTCATTGAGCATTGTTTCTGTGCATGAAATCCTCCATAATTGTGGAACATCACAGAAAAATTGTTGAACATGAGAAGTGCAAAAATGTAACCTGAATGTTGATATACTTTCCACTATTGCATAAACTATAGCACTGACCCAAGAGGCAGCTGCCATTTGGAGACAGGCATTCAAATTCATGATCCTCATATAATGTAAAGGGAGGCAGATTGCCACATAACGGTCGTATGCCATAACAGTAAGAAAGAACAGCTCAGCACTTGCAAATGTGAAAACTAGGAGCACTTGAGAAACACATCCCGAGAAGGAAATTCTTCTGTCATTCATCAATGAGATAGCCATAGATTTAGGAACAGTTACAGAGATGTAGCAAGCATCTACCAATGATAAATTGGCTAGAAAGAAATACATGGGACTATGCAGATGATGGTCATAGGCTATAGTCAGTATAATGAGTATGTTACCCATCAATGCTACCAAATAAATGGACAGAAACACCAAAAAATGCAAAATCTGTTGCTCTCTGATTTCAGAAAATGTCAACAGAATGAATTCATTCACTGTAGACTGGTTTTCCATTTTTTTCATTGGTGAAAATCTTCTCTACAAAGACAAAGAAATATATATATAAAGAAACCAAGCACAACAAAAAGTTATTCCCAATTTTTAACCTAGCTCAGTAAAAAAACCCCAATAAAAACATAATGCTTTTTGATTCTTTCTGCCTTTTGAAGGACAGATAATGTCTTCCATTTCAATTTGTATATGTTTCGGAGGGGTTCTTTCCGCTTTGTAATTTGGAGCTTTGCATTTACGAATCATCCGAATCTCCAAATTATGAAATGGAACTCAGAAGCTTTGCACACCCCTAATATTCATATTGATTTTGGTCCCAACAAATCAAAGGAGAATGGGATAAATTGATTGCCAATGTTATTTCCAACAGCAAAGAAGAGTATTGTAAAGTGGGGATTTCAATTTTGTTTCAGAAGCTATTTAGTAGTCTTCCAAAGAAAAAATACATTTCAAGTTTTCCTATAAAACAATACTCTACAACAAGCATCCTCAAACTGTGACCTTAAAAGCTTCTTTGGGCCTCCAACTCCCAGAATACTTGACTATTGAACACGCTGGCTTGGGCTTGTTGGAGGCCAAAACAGTTTGAGGATGCCTGCTCTACAATTTGTACAGTCTCCTTGTTCTCACTGGAGTTGTCTTGTGAAAATGAACTTGACTTGCATTGCTAAAATCTCTCCACATTTTCTTGTGGTTGATTAACACCCATAGAATGATTATATCACAAACATGCCACTGTTTTAATATTTTGGAAAATATACATGTATACATTATTCCCATCGCCAACCCTACAGTGTAGTGTGGTTATTTTTGTGGTGTAACTTTCTTTCTTATATCAAATTGAGGGGTCTTAATTTTATTTCATAGAACACAGATTGCTATTTCTCCAATAGGTGTTTCATGGTGTGTTCACACTGAGTTAAAATAATGAATTTTTAACTACCAAATGTGAAACATAAAGTGATCAAGAATATTTAGATAAGGGGTTCCCAAACTAAAGCCAGTGGGATGGATGCAGCTCTTGAAGGTCATTTACCTAGCCCACACCCTAAACTTAAAAGTTATTATTGCCTTAAGTCTGAAGGCATATCATAAGAACAACCCTAATTGACTCGATTATCTCATCAGCCAAAAGCATGGTTACATTTCTCATTGAAATACTGGTGACTTTTTCTTTGCTAAAATTGGTCCTCATTTTAAATATTGTATTGTTTTTTCATTATTCTTTTTTGCACTACAAAAAATATATGCCCAGTGTGCATAGGAATGTATTAGTCTGAACCTGACCCAGGTGAAGGTGGCACCCCCCCCCCAAAGGTGGGGGTATGGGAATAATAATAACATTCTAAATGGATAGAAAATTGTAATAGAACTATAAACATAATATGTTTAAAGAGGGAAAATTGAAAACTAGATGGGAGCAGGTTATCCTTATGTTTAAAGTTTAAGAATATGTAAAATGCTCTGGTTACATCCCGTCTTGATTACTGCAACGCTCTCTACGTGGGGTTGCCTTTGAAGACAGCCCGGAAGCTCCAATTAGTCCAACGGGCGGCAGCCATGATGCTAACAGGAGCAGGGCGCAGGGAGCACACAACTCCTCTGCTGCACCAGCTCCACTGGCTGCCGATCTGCTACCGGGCTCAGTTCAAAGTGCTGGCGTTGGCCTTTAAAGCCCTAAACGGTTCTGGCCCAACTTACCTATCCGAACGTATCTCGGCCTATCAGCCCACCAGGACCCTAAGATCTTCTGGGGGTCCCTGCTCTCTATCCCGCCGGCTTCACAAGTGCGGCTGGCGGGAACGAGAGACAGGGCTTTTTCTGTGGTGGCCCCTCGGCTTTGGAACACCCTCCCTATAGAGGTAAGATCAGCCCCCTCGCTGATGGTGTTTCGGAAAAGATTGAAGACATGGATGTTTAAACAAGCATTCGGTTAATCCGTTGCAACGAATTATGATGACTAAAGGACTGGTAATCATGGACGATGAATTTGGATTGTGACTCCAGTTACGAGATGCATTGGATGGTTATTGGTGGCCCAATAATTTGTATTGTATATGTGTTTTATGCTTTTAAACTGAATATTGTTGTTTTTTAAGTGTTGTAAACCGCAATGAGTCGCCGATTTAGGCTGAGATATTAGCGGTATACAAGTGCATTAATAAATAATAAATAAATAAATAAATAAATGAATAATATGCTTAATGAGGGTATGTATAAGTTATATTAAGATGTTAAATATATGTATATGACTTTTTCAAAATACCATGTACTTTCCTGCCATAGATATTGATTTTTTATTGTCATATTTGTGGAAAAATAGTTAACTATATATTCTGATAATAAAAAAAATCAAAAAAGGAATGTGTTTGTGTTTTATTCCAATTTAGTCTGGCCTCGCAACAGTCTGACGGACCGTAAACCGGTCCTCTGATTAAAAAGTTTGAGGACCCCTGGCTTACATGGACATCATACTAATTAAACATCTCTGATAACAGAATAGTATCAATTACAATTCTATGACCAATTTCTATACACTTGTGAAGATGTGAAAACACAATAATTTGGTGATAATGTTAAAGTTTAAAGTATTTCTAGTATTATTTTAGTAGCTAACAGGTTTATGATGATATGGTTTTATAGATGCTTACTTTTATTTTGTTTGTTCTCTAATGTCAAGGGTTAGGAAGTATTTCTGCATCTTAATATAAAGCAAATTACAATTTTGTTAAACTAATAATTTATTTAAAGCCCAAATCTGAGGGGGGAAAACCCTAACATTTTCAATAGACAATAATAACTATTTGAAATATTTAGCTTCAAACCAAATGTTATATTACATTGCTTTTTAATTTAATTGTAGATGGATAACTGACCTCTTTTATTTCATAATATTTTTAAACCTCTCCTCAGTACTGATATACGAAACATACCACACTGAAAGAGCCATCTTGTGCAGTTATTGACATTACCCTTTCTTTGAAGGAGCTCCGAACTTCTGTACTAAAAAAGACCATACAGTCCAAAGTCATATGCATCTAGTTACTCACCTCTGCTCCTTTCTTCAGATAATAGCGTATTCAAAAAAGAAGTTGAATAGGTAGAGAAAAATGTTATTTATTTGTGCTCCAAGGTTACTGGAGGTTTGAAGGTCCAAGGGAGATCACAGAAGCAGAAATACATTTCAAAAGGTCTTTGCATCATTCTCGCTGTCCCCAAAGGTTTAATTTAAGTGAGAGAAAATGGAAGACGTAATGGGGCAGTGTTCCATAGTTAATTTGTATTCCCTGGATGAGAAAACTGAATGTGCAGCCTTCGAGATGGAGGCTAAAGTTTGTTGGGTAGATAATTTTACATTAGGACTTTGATAGTCAAAAGTAAAATAGTGACAAAAATCAAATCTGTCAATCTAACCTCTTAAGACATCCAACAGGTCATTCTTTGAAGGTTTCTTCTTTCAGGAAGAGTCATACTGGTAGAAGTTCCATAACATTACATTAGGCTTGATAGTTACTAAAGGTACCTGGAATTCACCATGGAAACACAGGGTGGATGGAGGTGAATTGGAAAGAAAGGCTAAAGATGGGTATAGCTAAGACATGCTGATGGGAATGAGAAGAGAAAGAAAAGTAAGGAGCCATTTGTCCAGAAGCTGTCAGCAGGGGAGTTGTTAGTAGAGGAGATAAGAAAAAGGAAAAGAAAAGATGAGGAGAAGATACTTGACTAGGAATTGAAGGCAAGGCCAAAGAAGATGACAAGAAATTTGCTGATATGACTTTACTTGCCTGCTAGATTATTATCACATATATCCTTATTTAGTCAAGTCCAATGTGCACCTCAATTTTCAAAACCCCAGGATCCCAAAAAAGCATTTGCTGATGAATGTAATGTGCAGCAGCAAAAAGTGCACTCTGTAATTTGGATAAAAAAATTATGAATTAAATTGGCTGTATGCTTATATTTCCTTCTTTAAAAACAAAAATGTTAGAACACCAAAGCTTTCAGCAATGAAAATGAAAACCTTGAGGTGCATCTATATTGTTGAATGAATCCAAGGTAATTGAGCCAGAAAAAGTGAGCATTAGATTCAAGTAAATACTATATTTCCCTTTTGGAGCTATTACATCTATATCCAAAACAACAGGCTCATGGGTATATCGTGTTGTGCATTTCTTCAAACACTGTTCCCCTTTCCTCCTCATCCCACAAAATGTCCTGAGGTATAATTGCTCCAAATTCATAACACGTCTGAAAAATATCTGGAAAGCAAAACCCTAAATAGATACTTCTCAGAGGGGTACTAAAATCCCCTTATATTTTTCTGCTTCTTTCCTGCCATCTCTGTCTGGAAAACTTGAATTTGATTCAAACAAAACTTTTTGCAGTATTGCCACTAACTGTGAACATATGAGCACACTTGTAACTGATTTTTCTTTTTAACTTGGGAGCCACCTGCTTAAAGTGTCTATGCCTTGTCTCTTGTCACTTTTGGTTGGTTTTTCTTGGTTTACTTTCCTATCAAACCCTTATGATTTGAGAGAAAAAAGTTTGCCACCTTAGGTTAAAATTCTCTGCTTTTTCTTAGACAAGTGATCTAATAGTAATATTCTGATTTCTGGTAGTATTTGATGTGACAAATAAGGTGTTTATTTTTGTGCCATAGCTCTGAGGTTCAATTTCTTTAATAGATTGCTAGGTTCATGTGCCCTACCTTCTGAAAAAGTTCTCCCTGTTTGCAAAATATAGCCTCAGAAGAGATTTCTAAAGTCGCCAGATCCCCAACTGCACCTTTATTTATTATTTTTTTAAAAACCTACATCAGTTTGCTTTTTGTTTATATATTTTTCCCAGAAAAGGGAATATCTTATATTGGACCTCATCTATGTATGACATTTATGGTAGCTTTTGGAGGCAGTGAGGCGAAGTTGAAGGAAAAATATCCACATAAGCATTTTGAGGTTGTTGCTGGTATTGTAGTATGATGGGGCCTCTGCATCCACATATATAATCATCTTTGAGTGCTAGGGCACCATCTGCATGCATGCTATTCAGATGGAAATATATGTCTGGATGACGCAAATGTTTGTACTCTCTCTGTTTGTTTGCCAAATTTGATACATTTCCCTTTGTTTTATAATGACACTAGCTTGAGGACTGGATGGTGCCCAGGGTATTTGAGAAAGGCATTCTTTGTTTTTTGAAGTTTGGTAATATTGGTTTGTTAATGTATAACACTACTTATTAGGGAAAAAAACCACTATTTCCTTTCATTTTTAATGAATGCTCCCATTAGAAAATACATAAGGATGTGAGTGAACTAGAGTTCCCTGAATTGTGGGTCAATCCTTCCCAAACCCTGCCATTATTCAAAGTTCACCGTTGGGTTTGTGTGCCAAGTTTGGTCCAGATCCGTTGTCAGCTGGGTTCAGTACTCTCTGGATAAAGGTGATCTACAACATCCAGATTCCCAGGGCAATCACTCACAAACCCTGTCAGTATGCACAGTTGCCCATGGTGGGTCTGTGCCAAGTTTGGTCCAGGTCCATAATTCTTGGGGGTTTCAGGGTTCTTTGGAAGTTGGTGAATTTACAACAAATCCCAGCATCTGAGGTTTATCCTCCTCTAACCCTTACCAAGACATGAAGGGCATCATAAGGAGTCTGTGTGCCAAATTTGGTCCAGGTGCATCATTTGTGGGGGTCATAGTGGTTTCTGGAAGTGAGTGAAGATATTGCAAATCCCATTGTTCTTGGTCCATCCTTCCTCAACTCTTACCAAGATAAAAGTGTATCACGGAGAGTCTGTGTAGCATGTTTGGTTGAGGTCCATCATGTGTGGGGGTTGCAGTGGTCTGTGAGAGCTCAATTGAGTGAAGGTACTGCAAATCCCATCATCCATTGTTTGTCCTCTTCTAAACTTCACCAGGCTGTATAGTGGGTCTGTGTGCCAAGTTGGTCTTGATCTGTCATTTGTGGGAATCACAGTGGTCTCTGGAAGTGATTGAAGGTACTGTAAGTCCCAAGCTTGGTCCAGATCCATCGTTGGTTGCATTCACAGTGCTCTCTGGATGTAGGTGAACTACAACACCAATAAATCAAGTTCAATTCCCCCAACTTGGTCATGGGGATTCTGTGTGCGAAATGTGGTCCAGGTCCATTATCAAAGGGGTTCTGCTCGTTGGTTCATGGTGTTCACTATAATCTGCAATGTCGGTTGAGTGTATGCCTTTGGAGGCTTCTATAGACTATTTGTGGAGGTGAAAGGCTGTGTGTGTAAGTGGATACTTCTGGCACATACACACATACACATTTTTCACTTTTATTATGTGTATAGATAGATTATACAAAAAAAAGCCAGTGGTAGTACAGGAAATATAAAGGGTGGAAAAAGAAAGACAGGTGTATCAAATAGGGGAAAGATTATTATCCTTACATAGGTAGGGTTCCTATATAGAATTATCTATCAGCAGGCATGTAGCTGGGGGGGGGGGGGGGGGGAGGCTTGGGGGGTAAAGCCCCCCCCCCCCCCCGAAATCTCATGGTGGTCTGCGAGAAGGCCTTACTGGTACATTATTTAAATTGTTATGTTTATTCATATCATGATCTGATCACCATGCTCAATATATCCCATATGCATGGGGCTATTCGGGTAACGATACAGAAGGTTTGCTAGGGTAGACTCGCTTTCACTCAGACTCAGCCCCTCCTGAAACAAACTCATCCCCCCCCCCCGAATCAAAATCCTGGCTACGGGCCTGCTGGGGATGCTCCAGCTGAATTCACTGCATTGAGTCGGGTTTGGAATTGATTATCTATGGGGCCCCTTCCAACTATGAGTCTATATTTTTGCCTTTTCTTATTATTCCCCCTGCACCTATGAATCAATATAGTTTAGTCACCATCTAACTGGGGTGCCCATATGTTTTTAGATATCTCCTACATGCAAACAAGTGATTTATAAAAATCCATACAAACTGTTGGCTACTTTCCAGACAGTACTGAGATGTCCATTAGATATGTAAGTTGGGCAGGGCTGTGGCCTTACTTGAGTGGATTGTACTCTTAAAAGGAAATTTGAACTTAATGTGAAAAATTACGTATCTGTTTGAGAAGCTTACTTCTCTGTTTGAGAGTTTAGGAAAGCAAGAATGAATTGATAGAAGACATTCTATCAATCCATTCTTGCTGAATACTCTAAGGCCATTTCACCTCTGTTAGAATCCTAGAATTTGTTTATTCAAAAAATTGGAATCATAAGAAGAATTAAGGCAATATCATATGTATGTATGTATGTATGTATGTATGTATGTATGTATTATAGAACCACATGAACTATATCAAAACGTGCTATAGAAATGTGATTTGTTTGATTAAAACCCACCTTGCTGGGCAAGGACAGTTTATCTCAGTGGGGCATACTTCCAAGAGGGTATGTTTTAGGACTGTATTGTTGAAGTGAGATTTGAAGTGGACATGCTAGTTGCCTCTCTGATATTACATCTGAAGAGTATTAGAAAAGCAAACAAAATATATTGATAAGAACATTTTTAGGGATGGTGAATATAGAAGAAAATTATGGAAATTATGGATTAATATACTGCAAATATATGAATGATTTTAGAGTATTAGTTCTAACCCTGGCCACATATTGCTCCCAATTAAGGATGACAAGTTTTATGATCAGTCACAAATTATTACCTCCCAAGATAACTACATCCTATAATATAAAAAGAATTTAGTAATAGGAACATGAAGTGTATCAACCAGAAAAAAATTAATTAAGGAAAGAAGTTGAAATGGGAATTTGCTTTATTCATTCATTTATTTTTGACAGCAGGTTAAAAAGTTAAACATGAGCCAAGACTTGTGCTAAATATTCATTGTCTTTTATTTTACAACAGTTGCAAGAAACCTTCCTATTATCTGAACAGTACCTTGTTGTCCCACTCTAATATGTACACTCCTATGTACTTTTTGCCTGCGTTGGATTTTGTATCTATCTCTGTAGGAATGCTTAACTACTGTCTTCCTTGTGCTTGAACAGGCAGCCACTATACCTCTTAAGGAGTAACAATTAATGAATCAGTCTTCTTTGTCAGAATTTCTTCTCCTGGAATTCTCAAATGTTCGGAAGTTCCAGATACTACATTTCATTGCGTTCTTCATCTTCTACCTGGTAGCAGCTGCAGGAAATCTTCTCATCATTGTCGCAGTAGCATCTGACCACCATCTGCATAACCCTATGTACCTCTTTCTGATGAATTTGTCCATACAAGATGTGGGGCAGATTTCAGTAATCATTCCCAAATCCATGACTAATTCCCTTATGAATGACCGGCACATTTCTTATTCTGGATGTGTAGCTCAAGTCCTTTTCTATATTTTGTTTTTATCATCCGATTTCTTTCTTCTAACAATTATGGCATATGATCGATATGTTGCCATTTGCAATCCATTGCAATATGAGATGGTGATGAACACACATGCCTGCTTTCGGATGGTAATTGCTGTGTGGATCAGCAGCTTATGCTATGCGATTTTACACACTGGGGGCACCTTCACACCCTGCTTTTGCTCCAATGTTGTCAATCAGTTTTTCTGTGAAATCCCACAGTTACTGAAGTTGACCTGCTCTGATGTATACCTTTTTGAAACTGGAGTAGTTTTATTAGGAGTACTTGTTGGGGTAGGATGCTTTGTTTTTATTGTAGTGACCTATGTGCACATCTTCATTGCAGTGCTGAAAATCGCTGTTATCCAGAGAAGGCAAAAAGTTTTCTCAACCTGTATTCCCCATCTCCTTGTTTTTTCCATATTTATATCCACTGGTGGTTTCTCATACCTTAGAGCCACCTCTGGTTCCTCATCATCTTTTGACTTGGTCCTGTCCATGATCTATTCTATGGTTCCACCGTTAATGAATCCAGTAGTTTATGCAATGAGGAACAAAGATATTAAAAATGCTCTATCTAAGGTATCATTACTTAGATACTTTACTCGAAATTTCTTCTCCAATCTCATTCACCAGAGCTGAATTGATAATTTAAATAACTGTAGTTGGTGGTGTAATGGTGAGCAAACTTTATTTTGTAGATACTGTAAAATTGTTTCCATTGCGTTATGTGTATGCATGCATAAGCAACAAAGGAACACATTACTGTTATTTTACAGCTTGAATATATCTCTTGATATTGCAACTCTTTCTTCCAATGGGTTTTTATTTGATCCAATTGTCTTTTCTTTCACTAAAAGTAAAGCTGAGATTATTCAATTAATGTTTTTGGACAATTTTTAACAAAGCATTAACTTCCCTTCTTTCCCAGAGCTGGAGATCATAAAGTCCTCTTCACACTTTCTATATTAGAGGTGGAATCATGTAGCATTCCAGATGTTGTTGGATTTAGATTTCAGCATTCACCACTTTAGCTATACTGGTTAGGGCTGTTGAGTGTTACAGTTTTACAACTATTGGATGGCTCCTGGTTTCCTACACTAACTCTATTAGACTTCCAGGGAAGAAGTAGTTTCAAAGTATCCGTCTGAAAGTCAAGATACTTTCATCAGTCATTTTTGGGATGGACAGGTCTACCCTAGGCAAAGTTTCTTGAACTTATAGAATGAAAAATGCTTCAAGAAAGGTGGTTGGGTGACTTTGAAATAGAAACTGAGAGAGAAAGAGAGGGAGACAGGGTCTCTAAGGCAATTTTACTGTGCAACAGTGAATTGAAAGAGATCTTAATCTTGTAATGCAAATACGGTTTGATATAGCTCTTATCCTAAATGCTCAGGACCAGAGGTGTGGATTTAGATCCCCCCATTAGCTTTGAAGTCCTTGTAATCACATGTCCATGATGAAATGATATTTTGGAAATGGGAGCCAACAAAAAAACATGAAGTTATTTTAAGGGATACTGTCAGATATTTTAAGGGATACTGTCAGATATTTTAAGGGATACTGTCACTTAAAAAGTGATGAGTTCAAAAGAGTTAGTTATAGTGGTTTGAGACTTGAGAAGACCAAGGTTCAGACCCCTGCACAACACTGGAAAGCCACACTAGGAGCTCTTCTACACCCTATTCTGGGATACAGGGGTGTGTGGAAGGGGCTTGGAAAACCATGGGAAAGCCACGCTATCTCAAACTCAGATGAAGATAAGGACAACCCCTTGCTGAACAAATTTCTGCAAAGAACATCCCATGATAGGTTCACCTTACAGCCATCATAAGTAGGGAAAGGTTTAATTCACCATCATAGGTTCACTTGGTGATGACATGAGAGAGAGAGTTTTCCCAGTGGCGGTGCCCACTCTCTGGAACTTCCTTCTATAGGAGGCTAGTTTGGCCACTTTCCTGCTTTCCTTTCATTGGTGGGTCAACACAATTTTATTTAAGCAAGCTTTTGATGTATACGCAGTGGTGGCTTTTTACTTGAGCATTTTTTTATATCTTTTAACTTTTCTATGCTTTAATTGATTTCAAAATGTATTATAATATAAATTTAATTGTTATAAAATAGTTTTGCAAATATTTTTAGCTTATTTTGAAAGCAGCCTTGAGTCCCACTCTGGGGGTGGGGAGTATAATAACCTCCTTAAGGCCGTCTGGGCAGGGGGGTCAAAGAATCCCACCGCTGCCACCAATTATAATAACCTCCTTAAGGCCGTCTGGGCAGGGGGGTCAAAGAATCCCACCACTGTCCCCAAATTATACTGATATAATTTCTTGATGGCCAAACAATATCACTGGACAGGGGCAAACAGATCCCAACACTGTCCCTCCTTCAATAAGGAATTCACACCACTTTGGCTCTTATAGCGTTTGAGGGAATGTCTCTTTCTTTAAAACCTTCGCTGCCACCATAAACTGAAGAATAACGAACCCTCTAGCTATTTAGAATGTTAAAAGGCTGTTTAAATTATTAAAAGGCTTTTTTACTCCACCAAATACTGTGTAATTATCAAGGGCTTTCTTTTGAGGGGAAAACAGGAGAGGTTGATTCACCAAGGAAAATGACTCCAACCAAAAATGGCACTTGACTCAGGCTTAAGTTTTAAAAACAACAAGAAAGAGTTTATTGATTATAAATTACAGAATGATAAGCGAATGCAGGTTCAGAGGCTTGGCTGTTACAAATAAAAGTGTTCTTGTTTCTTAGAAGCGTAATGGTTACTTGAGAGAATGGTTCTTTCCTTTGTTACAATTTCTTAAGCACAAAACCCAGCTATTTTCCCTAAAATAGCTGTAACCAGTTTGCCACAGACTATTTTTCACTGTGCAAACTCCAGGCAAACTGCCTATTCTAATAACGAACTCCTAATACATCCAAATCCTACTCTAATCTCTCTCAGAACTGAACTGCTCTCTACTCTACTCAAACTGCTCTCTAACTAAAACTGAACTGTCAAAACTAGGCTGTTCTCTTTCCCTCCATCTGGCTAACTCCGCCCCTCTTTTCCAAACAAATCCTGACTGTTGCTGGGCTGGCTCAGGCCTAGGCCACTCCCCCTCTCTGAGCTGGAGTTTCCCTAAACTAAGATGGCTCCAGCAGCTCTCTGCCAGGCCTTCTAAGCTGGAACTACCTAGCCTGTCTCTTACTGGGCCCTGCCACCCTAGCTGGCAAGGTAAGGGATCTTTACATTCCCTCCCCACCTCAAGATGGTTTGCGGAGTGAAAAGGTTTGCAGACCTTTTCCGCAGCAAAACCTAACACTATACTAGGCCTAACTAACCCCCTTTCTATCTATTCTAGCTAATCTGTCTATCTAT